ATAGTTATGACAATTACAAATTAAGCATTGCTGATCCTGCTCCCATTCATGTAAATTCCTGTAGACTTCACTGGAGCACAGCTGGGTCTTCAGTCTTTGCCTCTCACTTTACATTGAGGGAACAGAAAGATTAAAGGCCCATCCATCCACCTCCTCATATGCCATATCCTCATATGGCAACTGAGCACAATCATCATCTGAACTGCAGTAGCATCCAAAGTTCTCAGTCAAGATTGTAGTCCCATTGTACTAGACACTATTCAAACAAATGAATAGTCCCTGCCACAAAGAGCATAGAATCTACTTACCTACCCCACAAGAGGACTGTGAAGCTAAATTTGTTCATGTCTGTGAAGCACTTTGAGATCCTCAGGAGGAAGGTGCTATTGAAGTGGAAAGTATTAATTGTTAATCCGTAGGGTTTTTAATATAGCTTCAAAAACCAATTTGAATTATTTACCCAATTATGCTAAATGTATTGAATTGTTAATAGAGTGGGCAGGCCAAAGAAGCCTGGCTTGAGATGCAGGTCTGGGCTTTGTGATCATAAATGAGGACAAGCCAAAAAAGAATCATGCCAGGGTGAATATTCTGGCACTACTCCCTGGCTGTCACAGTGACCTACTACACTGTATCGTTTTACGTATTTTCTTTTTCAGATGTGTATAGTCAACTGTAGTGGCTTGACTAGTGTTTTGATTCACAGAGCCAAATCAAACTCTGGGTTTAGCTTGGTCTTCAAACCTTCTGGATTGTTCAAATTGCATTACTTAGCTGGTCTCTAGAACAAGAGACTCCTGTTAGCCACAGCTCTGGTGCCATGGTTTAAGTGCTTTATAAAGCACCTTTCCTACTCAAGATATTGAGACAGGGTCCAGGACATGCAAAATAGGGTGACAGCCTAGTCTTTGGAAACCATTTAAACACCAGCAGAACAAACATCATATAGACACATGTGACAAGGTTTTGTTGAGAGAATGACTGCAGGTTTTGCATCTAGGATTAACCAATATCTTTGCAAAAAGTGCCATCAAGTCTTTAACATCTACAAAGCAACAAATCTAATGTATCATACTTCTAACAATGCAGCGACCTCCCAGTACTCTGTTGCATTGCTGTCTGTACTGATAATGAGACCTTAATATGGGATGTGAATCCCTAGCTTTTGCTCCAGGGGCTGAAAATGCTAACAAGCTATATCAGGGGTCGACAACCTTTCAGAAGTCGTGTGCCGAGTCTTCATTCATTCACTCTAATTTAAGGTTTTGCGTGCCAGTAATACATTTTAACATTCTTAGAAGGTCTCTTTCTATAAGTCTATAATATATAACTAAACTATTATTGTATGTAAAGTAAAGAAGGTTTTTAAAATGTTTAAGAAGCTTCATTTAAAATTAAATAAAATGCAAAGCCCCCCGGACCAGTGTCCAGGACCCAGGCAGTGTGAGTGCCACTGAAAATCAGCTCGCATGCCACTTTCGGCACCCGTGTCATTGGTTGCCTACCTCTGAGCTATATGGACATCTCCTAACAGAGATAGTCATAACTTTTTTTAAAAACCACAATGACCTCCAGTAGCTCACCTGAGTTTTGGTTCCTAGAGCCATGTCAGACACTGGTTTGTCTGTCCTCAAATTTCCTAGCTTGGCCATATCTAGTTACTGAGTTTACAGAAGAATAGAGTTTCATAAACCACTAACGTCACCAGTGCCTAAATATTGTTCTGTAAGAAAATAGAAGGAAAAAATGCATTTACAGACTTGCAGTAATTAGACTTCGTCCCAATATTCATGGGCAGGAGAGCCTTAAGGACAGTCTCTCCAGGAGGGAATAAGAACAAGCTCATGCCAGGAACTGATTTAAAAAGCCA